ACCAAGATAGCCTTGAACTCATAGTCACAGCCTCTGCTTTCCAAGCGTTAGAACTAAAGGGTGTGCCACCATGCTCAGACTTATTTAATAATTAAGAATTTTAAAAAAGGGAACTGGAGAGATGGCTCAGTGGTTAAGAGCACTGGCTGCTCTTCCAAAGGACCCAGGTTCAATTCCCAGCACCCACAAGGCAGCTCACAACTATCTGTAACTCTAGTTCCAGAGGATCCAACACCCTCACAGAGGCATACATGCAGGCAAAACACCTAAAATAATCTTTTTTTAGAGAATAAAAAAGGAACAAGGTAGAAAAGTGACTGAGAAAGACATCCTGACACCAACGGTTAGCTCCCACATGCACACACACACACACACACTCACTCATACACTCAGACACATGCACCTGTGGGGGGAAGCACATGCACACACACACACACACACACACACACTCATACACTCAGACACATGCACTTGCGGGGGGAAACACGTGCACACACACACACACAGACACACACACACACTCATACACTCAGACACATGCACCTGCGGGGGGATGCACGTACACACACACACACTCATACACTAAGACACATGCACCTGCGGGGGGAAGCACGTGCACACACACACACACAGACACACACACACACATACTAATACACTCAGACACATACACCTGCGGGGGGAAGCACGTGCACACACGCAGACACACGTAATAATACACTCTGACATACATGACTGCTCAGACCAGCCAGCAGTCTGCAAAGCCAGGGATTTACAGATGAAAGATAGCACTGAACCCTGACGCTGTGTTTTTATTTCTTCTGGTTTTTGAGACAGGGTCTCTTGTAGCCCTGGCTGTGCTAGAGCTCACTATGTAGACCAGATTGGCGTCAAACTCATAAGAGTGCAAACCTGCATCTGCCTCCTGAGTGCTGGGACTAAAGACAAGTGCCACAATGCTTGACTATGCTGTGTTTTTACAAACTAATTCAAAATGGATCAAAGTCCTAGAAAAGTAAAACTATAAAGTCGTAGGGGAATCTCTGTGAGTTCTAGGCCGACCTGGCCTACATAGTGAGTGAGTTCCCAGACAGCCAGGACTGTCACACAGAAGAACCCTGTCTTGACAGACAGACAGATAGACAAATGAAATAAGACTATGAAGTCTTTAGAAGAAAACATGGAAGGAAAGATATGGTGACCCATGTGGTAGTGGCCCAGAGTGGCCATAGTAAATACCAATTATCAGCTTGATTGGATCAAGAAACACCTGGGGGGCTGGAGAGATGGCTCAGCGGTTAAGAGCATTGCCTGCTCTTGCAAAAGACCTGAGTTCAGTTCCCAGCACTCATGAAGGGCAGCTCACAGCGGCCTGCAATTCTGGTTCCAGAGAATCTAACGCCATCTTCTGGCCTCCACTGGCACTGCAGGCACATGGTACACACACAGACAGGGAGGCAAACACTAAAGACAGTCATTTTAGAAAGAGAAACACGTGGGTGTTAATGCTATTATTACTCAGCCTTAACAATAAATGGGAGGTTCACAGAAGGGCTACCTGAGGCTATCGGGTGCTGGTGGGAGACAGAATCTAGAGGTTTCTGTTTAACGGGTACAGAGTTCAGTTTTACAAGGTGAAGAAGTTCTGGGAGCAGACAGTGGGAATGGTCACACAGAGACACGGTGGACTTAGCGCCACTGACATGTGTACTAAAGTCATTAATCTGAAGACGCGTGTTTATTATTTAAAGTACTAAGATAGTGAGCTAACGTCCATCATTGTTTTATTTTGTACAGCTGATACATCTGCTAGGGATTTGACACAGGTGCCAGGTGCACACGTGAAGGCAGATGACAACGTGTCCACAGTGTGGGCACAAGAGACTGAACTTCTATCAAGACTGGTGACGCGTGCCTTTGCCCTCATTCCCCAGCCGTCTGTTTTCTCACTTCCATTTAAGCAAACCTAGGAGTCAAAGGACAGCAGGAGACGGGGATGTCCCTGCATAATATAGTCTACAACATAGCGATTTAGGGAATTAATCAGCATCAAAAGAGAAAAGGAAAAACACCAGGGAGCAGAGGTGCGGCTCTCCTCACGATGCCAACCATGGCGCCCTGGTGTCCACCCGCTGCCTCTGCACCTGCTGGGGATCCTGACATGGTGACACAGACTTTGATTCCTGTACAACCCAAGTCGCTCGCTCGCTCACTCGCTCCCTCCTCTCCCCCACTCCGCTGAAGTTTTCCACTACTAACAGTGCCAGGCATAGGATACTGTGACTATGGTGACATTTCAGTGAACTTCGTGGGTTAAGTCAGGAATTCCCGAGTGTCTCAGGCACCGCTCCATTGCTGTGAAGAGACACCACGACCAAGGCAACTCATAAATAAAAGAACACCATTAACTGGGGGCTTGCTTAGTTTCAGGGGGTGAGAGGCAATTATCGCCACGATGTGCGTGCAGGCAGACACGGTGCTGGAAGAATAGCTGAGAGTTTTATATCACGATCCACAGGCAGGACCGGGAGAGGGCCACACACCCTCCAAGGCCACACCTTCAGCTAGGGGCCATTCTTTCTCCAACCACCACAGAGTGATGCAGCCAAATGAGTAGATTACAGGTCGGAAAATACCTATGAATGTGTCCATTGCTTTTCTAAGTACTGACACAAAGTGCCTCAGAAAAACAAGGAAAGGTTAAAAAAAAAACAACCCTCCATGGAAGAAGTGCTCCTCCTGCCTCACCCCCTGAGAAGATGCAGCCCACCACAGCAGGGAAGGCAAAGCAGCGGTCACAACGGCACCGTCAATCAGGAAGCAGAGAGTGATGAACGCTCCTGCAACCCAAGCCCAAGGGAGCCGGCTAATCCAGCAAGCCTAGCTGGCCCAGATGCCCCCGCAGCCTCAAGCCTCTGCTGCCCCAGCGCTGGCTGGGATTACATGCGGCCACCATGCCATGTTTTTCACATGGGTTCTGAGAATCTGAAATCAGAGCTTCATGATAACAGAAAAAGCATTTTTACTGACTGAACTATCTGCTTCGCCCCAAATTTGCTCATTTATGTGATGAAAAAACTGCAGGGGCGGGGCTGGAGAGGTGGTTCAGAGGTTAAGAGCACCAGCTGCTCTTCCAGAGGTCCTGAGTTCAATTCCCAGCAATCACATGGTGGCTCACAACCATCTGTAATGAGATCTGGCGCCCTCTTCTGGCCTGCAGGTGTACATAATAAATACATCTTAAAAAAAAAACTGCAGAGAGTGAACATGATCTGCAAAGGGACAATATAGACAAAGACTCCCCCCAGCACAGAGAAGAGCAAAGTGGGGTGAGACAGCCGAGGTTCTGAGCGTTTGCTGCTAGTAGGCCAGGTAGGTGTGGGGGTGCATCCCTATAAACACAGATCCCTGAGAGCTGGGGCAACCCTAAGTTACATGGTGAATAAGTGATAATTCTGGCAGAAATAACCATTTAAGACAGGAAGTGAGACAAAACAGGCATTAATCCTGTGAAGACACATTCAAAGAAAGATAAAATCGCCGGGCGATGGTGGCGCACGCCTTTAATCCCAGCACTCGGGAGGCAGAGGCAGGCGGATCTCTGTGAGTTCGAGACCAGCCTGGTCTACAGAGCTAGTTCCAGGACAGGCTCCAAAGCCACAGAGAAACCCTGTCTCGAAAAACCAAAAAAAAAAAAAAAAAAAAAAAAAAGAAAGATAAAATCAAAGCTGTGAAAGACTGGTTGCTTCTCGCCACAATTCTGGTCAGACATCTTTCACCCCCAGCAGGCTGGACTGAAGAGTGACAGAGCTGTGCTCTGAAGCGCCCGCCAGGCCTCTGCCCCTGCCACCCAGGCAGTCTGACCTGACCCCAGACCTGTCAGAGGCTGCCCTCTAGTGGACATTTTGCTAATTCAATACTATCTTCTTGCACTTTTTCCTTGTTCTTTTTTTGGTGTTTAAGACAGGTTTCTCGAGGCTGAGAGATGGCTCAGCAGTTAAGAGCATTGCCTGCTCTTCCAAAGGTCCTGAGTTCAATTCCTGCCAACCACATGGTGGCTCACAACCATCTGTAATGAGGTCTGGTGCCCTCTTCTGGCCTGCAGGCATACACACAGACAGACTATTGTATACATAATAAATAAATTAAAAAAAAAAAAAACAGACAGGTTTCTCTGCGCAGCCTTGGCAGTCCTGGAAGTCACTCTGTAGGCCAGGCTGGCCTCAAACTCAGAGATCCACCGCTGTGTGCTGGGATTTCAAACCTTACAGTCTCCATCTTTACAAGTCCCTTGACCACCCTGGCACCGTGGCAGGGCATTGCCTGCACCCCACCTCCCGGGGTCCCAAAGTCAAGAACAGTGTACAGCGACCGCTGCTAGGCGGCACCAGACTGCCTGGATTTGTTAACCTGCACCACAGGCTGGACTTGCTGGCACCCCCCAGTGGTACAAAATTAGTGGGGTGCCATCAATCAACCCCAGCAGCTTCAGTGGCAAAACCAACACCATAAACCATAAGAAAACGTAGGACGGGGTGGACCCCACTCTCTCGCAGCTCTCACACAGCGATCCGAAGGCGCCCTCCATCGCCGCTCTGAGGTTAGAGGGGCCGGCCGAGCGGTCCCGGTAGTCGGCCCGCCCCTTCCTCTCAGCTGTTTTCAAACACAAGCCACGGGCACTCCGCTATCTCACGTGATTTCTACGATCTGCTTCCCAAGCGCTGGGCTACGAGGCAAACCCTTCACCGACCGAGCAGCCCCCGCGCCCGAGACAGTGTACTCTAAAACGCCATGTTACATACTTCAAAGACGGGCAAGTCTGACAACTAGACCTAAAAAGGGGGGAAGCTGGGGAAAATGAAAACCTAGGCCGGGAGAACAAAATCAAAAGTTCTAGAGAAAGCGCTCCAAGTTGGAAAGCTTTGAGGTCTGTACTCCTTTCTTGTTTAGATGACCAAAGATCCAGACAAGAACCGATTTTAAAGCTTGTTTTGGCTTACCGTTTAAGACGGGACGCACGGAACTCGCCATGGCCACCATTCCAGACCGAAGCTGGCCTCACCCCACCCCCCCAGTGACCTACTTCCGTCGGCGCGGCTCCACCTACCTACTAAAGGTTCCGCTAGACGGCTACCCGCGGGGCTCAAAGTTCTAAAGACGTGAACCTAGTGGGGACCAATTTCACTCGGTAGATAGGCTGTTTGATGGTATTAGAAATTAACTCTAGCCGGGCGGTGGTGGCGCAGGCCTTTAATCCCAGCACTCGGGAGGCAGAGGCAGGCGGATCTCTGAGTCCCACGCCGGCCTGGTCTATGTACATGCATGTAGGTCTCTATGGGGTACATGTGAGTGCAATTGCCCACAGAGACCATCTGTGTCCCCTGGAGATGGAACCACAGACAGTTATAAACCAACATGGGTGCAAGGACCAAACCGAACTCCAGTTCTCTGGAATTGCTGAGGCATCTCTCCAGCCACTACATAGCCTTGGCTGGCCTGGAATTCGCTCCGTAGACCTGACTAGCCTCAAACTCCCAGAGATCTAACTGCCCCTACTCTGTACCACCACAGCTGGCTTTTTATTATTTTACCTGTATGTGTATGTGTTTGTCTGTCTTTAAGTATACACGTGTGAGGGCAGTTGCCTGCAGAGTCCAGAAGGAGTTAGATCTTCTGAAGTTGATGTCACAGGTAGTTGTGAGCTGTCTGACCTGGATGCTAGGAACCAAACCCAGGTCCTCTGCAAGAGCAGGTCCTTTTTTTGTTTGGTTGGTTTGGGTTGGGTTTTTGTTTTGTTTTGTTTTCATTTGGTTTTGGCTTTTTTGTTTTTCCAGATGAGGTTTTTCTGTATAGCCCTGGCTGTCCTGGAACTCACTCTATAGACCAGGCTGACTTAGAACTCACAGAGATCCACCTGTCTCTACCTCCCAAGTGCTGGGATTAAAAGTGATGGCCGCCACCACCTAGCTACAGGTAAGCCCACTCTTAACTGCTGAGCCATCTCTCTAGCCCTATTCTTCAAAATTAAAAATTAGAAACAGGTCAGGCCGTGGTGGCCCAGACTCCAAAGCTGCAGAGAAACCCTGTCTCAAAATACAAAAACAAACAAAAAACTAGAAATAATTCCCACACTATTCTACTTTTTACACTACCACAAAAGAATCCTGAGCTTTATCTCATTAGTGTCATTTTTCCCCCGAGAATCAGAAGGTTCTCACACTTCAAGAGGATCTGAACTGGGGTTACAGGCAGTCGTGAGCCACCTTGTACCCGGGTGCTGGGAATCAAACCCAGGGTCTCTGGAAGAGCAGCCAGTACTCTTAACCACTGAGCCCCCTTTCTATCCCCAAGATAATTTTTTTTTAATTTTCCCAAACTTTGTTATGTTATCATTCAATTTCAGCTTTAATATTAAATCAAGTCATTGAAACCTGCTATGAATAGAAGAATGAAGCTAAATGTTTAAAAGCAGTAGCAACCCAAATAACTTTCATTTGTTTCATGAGATAAGGTCTTGTTATTTTGCTCAGAATAGCCTGCAGCTTCACAGCAATCCTCTCGTCTCGCCCGGAGTGCTGCGTTGAAAGGCAAACACCACAGCCCTGCTCGGACAAACTCGATCTTAGTGTTTCCTCTGCGCTGCCATGACGCATCTTCACCAGCAGGTGGCACTGCAAAGTGCGGGTGCGGCGGGAAGACCAGGCTACTGTTGCAGTTACTTGTCACTACTTACTGATAGATAAATAATTCAACACATGGCTGAGCTGTACTTCCACACAGCTGGTTACTGTCCTAAGTGGGTACTGGGAACCCTGGACTGCTGGCCTTCTCTCCGCCCCACAATCAAATTCCTTGACAATTACATCCCTATTCCAATGCCTGTACTTCCATCCTCTGATTATTACGTAGTCTTCTGATATCTGGACCTCTGAGCCCACGTCTCCAATGCATCCATTGCACCACAGTGCTCAAAACCTCCCCCCATACCTGTGAGATCATCTTCAACATCTTTCTCTGGTCACTCTCTCTTCCCTCTCCAGGGCATTCCTGGTTTTCTCGAACTGGCTGGATCCTCCCCCCAGATGGGAAGTAAAAGGACTGTTTCTTTCCCACTTTCTTCCTGGCCAGGTTCTTGGCTCACACTGCACTCTAGGTGACCCTACTCCTCTCCTCCCGCCTCTCTGTCTTTGGTACCAAATATCTCCAGCCATTACCCAGGACACACGCCCCCCATTGCCGAGTCAGAAGCACCATGTAGGCTCTTGACTTACTCTCCCACCCCGCCACCAAACAGACACGCACACCGCAGAACAAGATAACAACCTGCCCTTCCACCCTGAGCATGCTCACAATTAACTGCCTTCTTTCCACTGGTTCTGGTTCAGCTTCCTACTAGGATGGCTACAAAACCTTCAGTCGGGCTTCCCTTCCCAATCAGTGTCTACGCTGCAACCACGGTGGTCTAAAGCCAATTAATTCTCTGCCTTTTAGTCAAAGGGTTACATTTTTGTGTTATTTATTTTTGCAACAGAGTCTCAGTATTGTGAAGCTCTGGCTGGACTGGATCTCAGATATCCTCTTTCCTCTGCCTTCTAAGTGACACAATTAAACAATGAAAGGCGTGCCCATCACACCTAGCTCCAGGGGCTGGAAAGCATCTTTTCTGTAGCTGGAGACCCCCGCCACCTTTCCCACCTCCCCTACACTCACTGCCCCCTGCCTTCTCTTCTTAATTTCTCCACTTTCTTCACCTCCCGGCTTTGCTGTTTGCACCACACTGTATGGAGCCTTATTCTCCTCCCTCTCTGTTGTACCCATGGCTGCCCTCTTCAGTTCTGTGTGGGGAGCCTGGCTGCTTCCTCGGGAGTTCCCACAGCGGTCCTTACCAGGAACAGCTGACTTTTCTCAGCCTGGTGTGAGTGCTCTAAGACCCAGCTTCCAGACCAGAGATGACCACACCAGCCAGAGGAACTGAGTTCAGACTCTCAGCACTTCTGTAAAAAGCCAGCTGTGGCAGGGTGCGGGTTAACCGTAGCACTTCAGAGACTCCCTGGAGCTCAGTAGGCACCCACTTTAGCCAATCAGTGAGCTCCAAGTCCAGGGAGAGTCAGTCATGGTGTCCCAACACTTCCTGATCAGGACCCCAGGGGGTCTCCTACCACTCTTCTCCAAGCACTTACCACATTTTTTTTTCTTAAAGTTGTGTTTTAGGAGCTGGAGAGATGGCTCAGAGGTTAAGAGCACTGGCTGCTCCTACAGAGGTCCTGAGCTCAATTCCCAGCAACCACATAGTGGCTCACAACCATCTGTACTGAGATCTGGTGCCCTCTTCTGGCCTGCAGCTGTACATGCAGACAGAACACAATACATAAATAAATAAATCTTTTTTTAAAGTGGTGTTTTACTGCTTTCTTCACCCAATAAACCACGAACTCCACAAAGGGCCATTTTTATCCTTCTTACCAACTAGCAGTGATTGGCGGGCACTAATTGCTCAACAAATGTTCACGGGGTAAACTAGCCCCTGGGGTTTGCAGTACTCTTCACCTAGCTGTGATAGTTCCGTGACACGTGTAACTGTGTTAGCAGTGATGTCTTGTTGCTGTGTTCTGCTGGAGTTAAAACAGTTTTTCGTCCCACAACTTCCGCTTTTCTTGACTACATCGTTGGCTCTGAGGCTGGATAACTGAACTCACCTGGGCCACACATGGCTGCTTCAGAATGAGAGCTGTGGAAACAAAGTTCTTGCATTAATGAGACTCGATTATTCTGCTAGCCTGGCTAGTGGCAAGCCAGAGCCCCAGGTCACTACGGCCCCACTTAGTGGACCCAAGTGAGAGGGAGCAAGGAAGGCTCCCGGCATCTGAGCACAGAGGGAAACTGAACAGCTGACCTAAGGCATGTCTTCCCTTCTCCCTACCTGGCCGTCCCTAAGGCAGCTCTTTGCCTGGTATGATTTTCCTATAAAAATGAGCAAGTCACTGATAGTGACTAAGGACACATGTTCCACGTTTCTTTAGAACTGAGTTCCTTCTAGATCTATGTGAATTCAAAGACAGCCTGGTCTACACAGTGAGCCCTGGAGTACGTAGTGAGATCCAACCTTTAAGACAGTACTGGCTCCTGAGAGGTCTTCAGTTCAAGTCCAGCGAGCTCCCAGTGTCCACTCCATCCCAGCCTAACCCACCAGAATGCCCCTGGTCAATCTTAGGAGCCAACAGAAGACAGCGAGCAGGAGCGAGGGGAAAGGGACAAACAGAATTCTGATGTTTAGTTCTTTCATCTGTGAAACTGAGGAGTCCTAGATAGGAGACTGGGGTTTTTTTAGCTGGGCTTTTCCTCTTTTCTAGCACATTCTGAGTGACCTTCATGCATGTTTACATGCTCTGGTTCTAACTCTGTAACAGCCGCCAGGACTCAGGTCCACGTTTGAGCCACTAAGCCAGGAAACATGGAGGAAGGTGTGGCCCGAGGCCTCAGCCTCTTCTCGATGGAGGCTCCCTTCTCTTTGGTTGGCAGATCAGTGCTGACATTGGAGAAAATGCTGCTGCCCCCAGGACCCGAATGGGAAGCCAGGCCTGCGGTCGGTCCGTGCATGCCACCACCCTACCTAGACAACAATGTGGTGCCCCCTCCCTTTTCACCAAGAATTCTGCCTAGAGCTCTCACCTCTGCAGGAATAGAGAACTAAAGATGGCCTCAGCCACGCACCAATTTCTAGCTGAGGTGTTAAACAGTCTGAGCTCCATCCCCAAACCAGAGAGCTCAGGAAATGGTTCTGTGCTGTCTAACAATTCGCGCTCCCAGGCTTTTATTTGGTCTTATGATTTGTTTTTAATGCATTGGTGTTTTGCCTGCATGCATGTCTATGTGAGGGTGCCAGATTCCCTGAGGCAGGAGACACACAGTTGTGAGCTGCTATGTAGGCGCTGGGAATTGAACCCACGTCCTCTGGAAGAGCAGCCAGTGCTTTTAATCACTGAGCCATCTCTCCAGCCCAGCTCTCAGGCTCCTAATGAAACTTGACATTGTACTCAAAAGGCTGATCTGCTCAAACTGAGTGT